TCAGCAGCAGCCGTGACAAGAAGTCATCACTCCCACCTGCCAGCTTGTCATCGGAACTGCTGCTTAGGCTGGCAGCAGTGATTAACTTGCAGCAGCTGAGAACTGTCATCTAAAGTGGTTGACAGCTTGCAATTTAGAGCTCTATCCTGGTAACAGCTTTCTGTTGGCTACATGGTTAAGAACACCTGTGCAGAATAGACAGCTTGAGAAGACTCAGAGAGAGAAGAGACGGCCTCGAAGCTCTCTTCCACTTCTACCAGAGCCCCTATGCTTTGATTTTAAAAGGCTTAATTCCACAGTAGCTGAGTCATACGCTTCAGAATTCCGGCTTTTCTTTCTGCACTGAGAACTTCAGCCCCACTGGGGTGGGGGAATTGCCCCACAAGCCACAAAATCCTGGCTACGGGCCCGGAGACCAATAAGATTTTTTTGGGGGGGTAAGCTTTCAAGAGCTGAAGCTCCCTTCATCCGGTATCTAAATTTTGACTCTCAAGAGCTTACACCTGCCAAATATTGTTGGCTCTCTAACAGGTTTGGCAGGTCCTACCTGGCAGCTGGCAGGGGATTGACGGGCCTTCTTCGGGAGTTGCCCAGAAGTGATATCATCCCATTGCCAATGTTGTGCTCTAGTTTTGGGGCAAAACTCTATGGTTTAAGCCCAATTTTACCATAGAGTTTTGCCGAAAAACTAGAGCTTCACCATGTGATACCGGATCACTTCCAGGTGATGTCAACATGTTACTTTCGGGGGGGGGGCATTTGTGGGAAGTTGGCCGGCGGTGGAAAGGGACCTGCAAAAGCAGAGGAACCCCTGCCCAGACCGAGGGGCTGGCAGCCCTAGTCTCTAAGGTGCCACAGGGTTTGAATCTAGCTATTCAGATTGCCAGTTTGGTGTCGTGGTGAAGCGCGCAGACTCTAATCTGGGAGAACCGGGTTTGATTCCCCACTCCTCCACTCGCACCTGGCTGGATGACCTTGGGCAAGCCCTAGCTCTGATAAGAGCTGTCCTTGAAAAAGGGCAGTTTCTGTCAAGAGCTCTCTCAGCCCCACCCACCTCACAGGGCATCTGTTGTGGGGAGGGGAAGGGAAAGGAGCTTGTAAGCCGCTCTGAGACACCTTTGGGTGTTTGCTTAGAAGCTCTGCTGCTGAGTCCAGCTGACACCTCCAGTGCCTGGGGGAGGGCGCAGTTTGAGGGGGGGGGGAAGGCAGGCAGCTTAGTGAGGATGTTGTGCCGGAGAAGACCCCCTTTGAAGCTGCTGTTTCCTCCAGGGAAACTGATCTCTTCAGTCTGGAGATCAGTCGTGATCCTGGGAGAACTCCAAGTCCTGCATCAGTATTGGCAACTCTGCCCCCTCGAGTCATCTGCATTTGTGCCGGCCGGGCTCAGCGCCAGACACCGGGGTGGCAGTTCTGCCACCCGCCCTCCTTAAGGTGCTTCAACACGAGGCAACCAGTCGCAGCCTCTTTCCCATGGCTTCATCCTCACATTAGAGGCTGATCGCCTCCTTCTCTCTCCCTGACTGGGCCACATCAAGGTCTGATGAAACCACCCGCTGACACGGCAGAGTTCAGGCTTGACTCATGACAACCCAGGTTACGAATCCGGGCATTTAGAAGGGCCCAGTGCAGAGAGAACCTTTCTGACCTCGGGCGCTCCTGCCCTTCCCTCTCCCGTCGGACTTCCTCTTTCGGAGGCAGCCGAACCTGCATCACTTCAACGGAGATGCTTAATCTTTCATGTCAGCCATTGTGAACCTCCCACCCAGAATTTGCAAACAAGGCTCTCAATCCGGTTTTACATTTCAGGGAGGGGAAATTTATGCACAGCCCAGTCCTGATCTAAACCTTTCTTCAGAGATCTTTATATCCACATCCAGCTTATCTGTCGCTTCAGCATAACAATGGGGTTGCCAGATCCAGGTTGGGGAAGATGTGGAGAGCTGGGGGAGGAGGCTGAGGAGGGCGGGGTTTAGGGAGGGGAAAAATGTCAGTGGGGTACAATGCCATAGAGTCCACCTTCCAGAATGGCCATTTTCTCCAGGAGAACTGATCACTGCCTCCTGGAGACCAGTTGTAGTAGTGGCAGTTGGCAGCTCTACATGACAAGTGGTATTAAGGTATTTTTAATCTCGTAGGGCAGCTATGAAGGCCCCCCAGTTTGCACTGGTGTTGTGGCCATGAGAAAGGGGGAGTTACCTTTGAAAAGAGAAATAGACTCGGGTCCATTTTTACTAGTAAGGCCCTTTCACACATCACCAGACTTGGTGCTGGCCATTGATTGTACACTTGGTAGTATGCTGTGAGTTACTCCTCAGATCCGTAATGAGCCAGTTTGATGCAGTAGTTAAGAGTGGCGGACTCTGATCTGGAGGATCGGGTTTGATTCCCCAGTCCTCCATGTGAAGCCAGCTGGGTGACCTTGGGTCAGTCACAAGTTCTCTCAGAGTTGTTCTCTCAAGAGACGTTCTTTCAAAGCTCTCTCAGCCCCACCTTCCTCACAGGGTGTCTGTTGTGGGGAAAGGAAGGGAAGGAGATTGTAAGCTGCTCTGAGAGTCCAAGTGAAGGGCGGGATATAAATCCAGTCTCCTCCACCACTCCTCCTTCTCCTTCTTGGCATATATTTTCAGTCATGTCTGTCACATTAGCATTTTACTTGACATACATAGCTAAGCATACACCTAAAAAAGAGCTGGATTCGAGTCCAGTAGCACCTTAGCGACCAACAAGATTTTGGGGGTGTATGCATTTGAGAGTCAAAATTCCCTTCATCAGAGCTTTGACTCTCAAAAGCTTATATCCCCCAAAATCTCCTTAGTCTCTAAGGTGCTACAAGACTTGAATCTAATTAACCAAAAAATGTAGTGTGTGAAATTGTGGGGTGTGGTGGGGATGCCTGAAAGCAGCACCATGTGACACCATGATGTCACTTCCAGTCACATACTCGGAAGTGACATCATAGTATTGTGGGACACTCTAGGAATTTCCCAAATCTCTATGCTTGACTATAAAGATTCGGGGGGGATCTCAGAGCATTCCGTGATGCCATGACATTATTTCCAGGTAAATGGCCGGAAGTGATGTGGTAGCATCTCCTGATGACAGTCCCCTCCCCATTTTTTCCCGCTGGTCCACCAATTTGCAGCCTGGGAGCTAAGGATGGGAGGTTGTCCACCATAGCAGCAACCTGGCAATGCTACCTTAAAAATTAGGCATCACTAGATGTTCTCGAGAATGATTTCTGTCTCTAAACTAGGCATTTTGTTTAGTGTTCTTGTAATTACTTTAATTTTTATTTCCATTTATTTGAGTGAGACATGCATTTCCAGCTGTACCATTAGTTGTTCCGTTGAACATGGGTGAAATTTTCAGCTGTTGCACCCTCATCCCAGAGGATTGTTTCGGTCCAAAATCAGAGGAAAAGATCTTGTTTTACAGGCTATTAAAAGTAAAAGCACAGGGTGTGGAAAGTGCCATCAAGTTTCACCCAACTTCTGGTGAGCCCCACAGAGTTTTTAAGGCAAGAGATGAGCAGAGGTGGTCTACGCCATTGCTTTCCTTGGCATAGGAATTCCTGGAATTCCTCGGTGGTCTCCCACCCAAATATTAACCATGGCCAACCCTGCTTAGCTTTTGAGATCTGATGAGATTGAGCATCCAGGTCACAGTTAAAACACATCCCCAAAACAAATATATAACAACAACAACAACAACAACCAAACAACAACAACCAAAATCTGTTATAACAGGATGGATCCAAACAAATTCCAAGTAGCCTTCCTCCATCCTAAAGAGACTTCTTCCAATGGAGGAGCCATGTAAGTTGGAGGAAAGTTCCTTACACTGAAGGATTCAAATCTGAGCTAAAAGGAAAGGGGAGGTATAAATATTTTGATACATAAATCACAAATAAATAAATGTTGCTCAGTGAGAGGTATGATCCACCTGTGTGTGTGTGTGTGTGTGTGTGAGAGAGAGAGAGAGAGAGAGAGAGAGAGAGAGAGAGAGAGATTTGGTGTGATTTTTATATTTTTTCTTTCTTTCAGGGAAAAAAAAACCTAAATGTGATCGCCCAACATGATTGCACAACAGATAATATGTCACTCACTCGTTATCCTTTGTGCTGCCCGGATTTCCTTAGGTGAACCACAGACCAAAGGAAAAGTAAGTTCTCTGAGTTCAACTACAGGCCAGTACTTATATGCAGAGATGCACAGATGAAAAGGGTACATTCAAATGATACATGGAGGATCACAAGGGGGGTCCACAACCTTGTTGAAGCTGTCAGCATTTCTTAGATCTCAAGAATACTGAATGGGCAACCGTCACAAAATGGCTGCCACCAATGGGCGTCGTGTGTGCAGCTAATGACAAAATGGCTGCCATGGCTTCTGAGGCCAATCATGAAACGTTGGGCGGTTTCAAGCCAAGAGCCGTCCCCTGATCGAGGTTCCAAGCCAAGAGTTGTCCCCTGATGGAGACAGCTATTTCTTGTTGATTATCTTTCCTGTGCTCTTCTGGAGGAAAAGTCAGGAGTGGCTCTTTGTTTTTGGAAAGAATGATATGGGCACGAGGAAACACATCTGTAGATACCACAGCATCACAGCATGGGCGGGGGGGGGGTCGCTGCTGTAGTGTGCACTATACCAAATGCCCAGTTATTAGGGTTGGTTCTAGGGTTTGAGTGGGGGATGGCCAGTCAATCCCCAGGGTTCCCCTGCCCTACCCATTCCCACACCCCCTTCCCTGTCTACCCATGTGCTCACCAACCACTCCGGTATCCGTCCCTTGCCTGACTGCTCCTTTTTGCTCCCACCTGCTTCCCAAGCTCCGAGCCACCTGCGTGCCTTTCTACTGATGGCGCCAAGAACTGTGTGAAGCTTGTAGTGATGCGGGGCAGTGTGTGTCAGCAGGAGCACAGGGGGAGTGGGGGCTCAAACGCGGGAAAGTGCAAAGGGGAAGGGCGCAAGGTCAGGTAGGAGAGAGCAGAGGGCAGTGGCTATGGGCCCAACGGAAGTCTGGAGCCTTGGCAGCTGCCTGGCTTCAGGATAGGCTGAATCCTGCCAGTTAGGGGTTACTTTGGGAAAGATCTTGCTGAGGTACTCAATTTACTCTTTTCATTAGGGCTAGAATTCTTGTGGACAGATAGGGCTGCCAAGTCCATCAGAAACACCGGCAGGGGAATGGGGGGGACATTCTGGGAGCCGGAAGCATTGTTGCACAACGGGCCTACATCACCCAGAAGTGATGTGGGCACATCATAGATGTCAGGGCAACACTCTGGTTTTTGGGCAAAACTCTATGGTAAAATCAGCCTCAAACCATAGAGTTTTGCCCCCGATGTCACTGACAAGCCTATGTCACTTCCGGGTGTACACTTTGTACATACGCTCTGGTTTTTGTGCAAAACTCTATAGTAAAATCGACTTCCAGTGTACGGCGACTCGTGACGAACACACCCCATTGAGCTCCGATGGGAGCGATTCGGATCAGGGTGGCAGGGAGGGGGATTGGCCAGTCCCAACCTCCCCACAAAGCTCTTGGAGGGAGCCACTCCCGAAGTTCCGGTTTAGGGAATTGAGCTCCTTTTTGCTCCGAAAGGTCCCATTGTCCCGAGGCCAGCAATGGCGCTCAGAGACGTTACCGGACCAGAGCGTACAAGGACTTAAAAGGATTAATCTACGTGGCAAGTAATCTAGCGATTAAAGAAACAGTGAGTTAAGTGTTTAAAAAAAGACATATACTAAGAGGGTGGAGGAACAAATATTGATATCGGGAAATGGCATAGTTTCATGGGGGGGGGACTCGCGGAGGAAGAACCCTACCCACCAGCGAAACTTCAGCATAAACAACAAGCATGCCAGGTGTAAATTACTAAAAACCACTCTTTTTAAAGCGGAATACTTCTGGACTAATTATCTACAGCATAGAAAAATCTTAGAACTGTTACGAACTCTTACCAAAATATAAACAATGTCTCAGCGAGGGGGGAAAATGGCGTCCAGAGGCAGAGGTTCTGCAGGAAATACCAGCACAGCATCACCAGTCACAAGACCAGAAAATACCAGTGAGTTAACCACGGGCAATTTCTGAAGCCATGCACCCTCTTCTGGATCAGCTGATGAATCTCAATCAGAAATTTGATATCTTACAGAAAGAGCTTAAGGAAACTACAGCCAAAACAGAGAACTCAGCTAAAAAGATCAAAAAGGTTGAAACCAATGGGGGGGGGATCCGCACAAGCGGAGATCCTAAGGAGCCTTGGCGAAAAGGCTCCAAACCAGGGGGCGCTTAGGGGAAGTGCCTCTTTACCGACCCGAAGGTCGGAAATTGAGGCTTGCCCCATGCCCCGAAGGCCCCACCGCGGCAGTGCCCCGTTAGGGGACTAGCAACGCCACCGGGACTTTGCAGAGAGATGAAGCGAATGAACGTACGAAAGCGAAAGTGAATGGCAACGAACTGTGAGTTCTCGATCGTAAGTGCAAAAATATACAAGCGCATCCCCCCCCCCATCGTACAAGCGCAAAAGTGGAGGGAGGAGGGTGGAATGCCCCCCCGATAAGACTGGAACTGTAAGCTGAATGGGGGGGAGCGAAAATTGAAAGAAGTAAAGTTACCTTTTGGGGATTTTGTCAAAGCGAAGACAAGGGATTATTTCCCAAGCAGTGCGGAACGGACTTTTTAAAAGTAAACAAACAGTCAAGATGTCGGGGGCCAAAAGAGACAAGGAGAAGGAAAAGCAAGTGAAGAAGCTAACGATCACTTCCGGTCCTAGTTCCCGCCTCTCTGGTACGGCTGTCAATCACCAAGAAAGTGAGATGCTTCGCCCTCTGCTGGATCAGATGCAGAAAATCAGCCAAACTTTAGTAAGCATGGAAAGTGTTCTCAGCAGTCAACAGATGCAGTTAACTGATACAGCCAAGAAAATGGAGGAGATTGCAAAGAAATGTCTGGTTTCAACAGAAGACACGCAGAAAATCAAGAAGAAGGTCAGGAAATTGGAAAGAAAGCAAGAAAACAAGTTATTGATGTTACAAATGGAAAAATCAAATTTGACTCTCCGATTTCAAGGGATTCAAGAAGCAGAAAAATAAGATCTCAGAAGTATATTAACGGAAGCGTTGGCACCACTGATGGGCAGTGAAACGGATAAATTAAGCAAAGAAGCAATCCTATTCTAACTTTACAAAGAAAAATAATCTGCCAGCTGAAGTGGTTCTCAAATTCACCAAACAACGTGTAAGAGATCAAATCCTCAAA